TTTTATCACCCCCCTGTGCTGTTACTTTATCTTATGTCTGAGGCACTTTATTACAATCCAGAGGGTTTTTCTGGAGTGGTTCTTTCTTTTTTTTTTTTTTACCACATAAGTCTGTACTTCATCTACTGCTCTGCTCCTTCTTACTTGGTTCTTCTGCTGTTGGGACTTGTTGGAATGGGATGCTCTCCTGTCTGATGTATGCCTCCCTTATGCTTATCTGTGATCTTTATTAAGCTCCATTTCTTCACCCAGAGATCTTAGAAGGTGTTCCTGACTCGCTGGAGGCCCAGGCCGAGGTGGCTTAGCATCAACCCTCATTGCTTATTTTGGTCTTTCATCTTCTCAACCTTGTTCCAGTTTCTAGGCCTGCTGGATCCATTTTTTCATCTTCCCATTCTTCTTGCTTCCTGGCCTTCCACTTCCTGACATCAATGTTGTCACTTGTCTCATTGGTGACTACCCTGTCAGGTCTGGCCCTATGAGAACCCATCTGGCTTTCTTTGCCAAACTTTGGTCTTAATTTTCAATTGACAGATGAGTTCTTAGGTTTCTCACCCATGCCCTATCTATACACTTCAGTTTCTCAAGGATGCTGTCTCAGATCTCTAGATCTTTGTTTTTGTTATTTACATTAATTATATTGATAGAGGGCACAATTAGTAATGTTTATTGATGTTTGAGTATTTCTAATTTTTAATTTTATTAAGGATGTTGAGGTAATACAGATTGAGCTGGATCAACTTTTAACTTGGGCAAATAGTTTGGCAAATGGTCTTTAAATATAGTAAGTGTAAGAGAATGCATCTTGGTTGTCTTTTGGATCACACAGATGGGAAACCATTCATTAGTATGCCTGTTTTCAAAAGTAAGTGGAATAACTGTATAAGTAATGACTAAAAGAAAAGTTTTGAAAACAGACATTTTGTTTAACAATGCTATAATTTTCTTCTAAATATGATTATGAATAAGAACTGAATCTTAATTTAAAATATTTGCTTTTGACTTTATATTTTGATATCAATCACTTTACTAAAAATAAAGACAAAGGTCAAAGTGATTTCTCTTAGAGTGACAAGACAGGTCCATAGAATAATGGGAGATTCAACAAGATATTTAATATGAAGTAGTTCTGAGTTTGAGAAAGAGAGAGACTGTGCACAATGAAAACACATCTTTATTTAAACTCAGAAACAATCAACATTAAATATTGCATAGGATGAAGGACAGTGCAATTACTTGAAAGTTATCTCTCTACTCTCCTAAAAACATATTGAGGTTTATTAAGAACTAGTTAACATTACAGTATAAACTTTAAGAGAGTATTACTATCTACAGAGAAAAGTTAAACTTCACTCACCAAACTAATGGATTGAGCTTGAGGAAAGCTAACTAACAGATCATGATGTCATATACCAAATTATGTAATGCTATATTCTTGAAACATAAGTGCCACCTGTTTCACTGTTGATCAATCCAGTTGAAACCAAAGGGAGGTTGTAACGTCAAGACATCACCTGACCAACAACTGGAAGATACTGCTATCTATTTTCATACATTGATATACCAGATATTATCTTAAGGGAATAATAAAGAACAGTGGTAACTAGAGAAAAGAACCTAATGATTTTCTGACCACATGTTATGCACAAACTGCAAATATCTAAAATATCTAAATAATTTCTAGAAATACTGTTATAAAACAATAAGGTAGAGAAGAAAAGCATTGTTATGCCTTCATACTACAGCTTGTCTGAGGCATTGTTTGTTTGATTCATGGAGATCTGGTGTTTTTCAGCTTTTGCTGTTTTTTTTTGTTGTTGTTTTTTCAACAACTAAACTATGTTTCTTAATATGCCTTAGGCCATTCTTTAAAATTCAAATAATAGTGTAACACCAAAACATGCCTGGTGACATTTATATTAATGATTATGCACTTTTTAGCAGTGGTCTTTTTAGTATATCTAATTTATCCACAAATACCATCTTTTATCATTTGTGCTGACTACCATTATCTGTAATAAATAATAATATTTACTACATTAAAGAGAATAATAGCATTATTGACATTAATATATTTAAAGTAGTGTGTCTGTAGTAAATGGAAATTTAAAATATGTGAATTATAACAATATTTTATTTGTGTGTATGCATCTTACATCTGTAGTAAAAAGAGATTTTAACCCTTTAAATGTGGCTGCTTTAAACTTGTGTGGAATTTTTGTGAGCCATACACATTATACAGTACACTCTCATTCAACTGCCAGAGGTGGATCGTACCCTATATGGCAAATCAGCAATCAATGAGTTGAGGAAAGGAAAACTGTCAGTTAATGCTTCCTATAGAAAGATTTATAGCTAAATCTTTGAATGATCAACAATCTTCACCTTTCTTCCTGCAACAGTTTGTGTCACACAAAAACAGATTAATACCAAAAAAACATTTGAAACATTCTTTCACAACTCATACATGTAAGGGAATTCTCTTAATATATTTGATGATAGTATCAGACATTGTACTTTTTTGTTTCTGCTCTTTTTATTGGTGCCACTGAGAAATGTCCCATGATATCAACCAATCAAATGGAATGTTATTTATTTATACTGCCCTCCTTTGATTTGAAGAGATTCCACAGCCAATGGCAAGTAATGTTATCAACCAATCTATTAATTATTTCAAGCTATCTGCAAGTAAATTCAGTACTTAATGAATAATTAAACAGCTTTTCTTGTTCCAAGTAGTATTAAAAAACAATGAAAAAAAAACAATATTTTAAGAAACCATGAGTGAAAGCAAAGAATAATATGTCAACCACAATATATCTGTCATATCTAGTGCCAAAAAGGCCTCTTGCACAATACCAGTGCTTGTTAGGTTGGCTAGGATATGAAAGACATAGTGGATATGAGTGCTATATATGTAGCACCCATACAACTACATATCAAGTTTTCATGAACAACAACAACTATTATGCTGTAAAACTGTCAATCACAAGCTAGTCTTGTTGTTAACCACAATATCAATGTGAGACAAATCCATTAGTGGGAGCAAAGGAGAATGTTATAATATATCAATCACCACATCTGTGCATATCCAATGCCAATGACGTCTTTTGCCCAATATCAGGACTTATCATACCAGTTGGGATACAACAGACATAGTAGTTGTCTAGGTGCTTTATATATTATTAATTTTCTTGAACAATAAATGTTATGGTGTGGAACAGATTAAAGAAGTGAATTGTAATTATTGTTTTTAATCGTATTATTCAGTACATCTTTGAGAAAATTACTGACCAGTCCAGCTCAAACTTTATCTTGCAGTTTTAACCAGCTATATGCATAGTTTGGATTATTATCCCACTTTAAACTCTGTACAAGTTCATCTGTTTAGTAAGGACAGTTATTGTGGTTCTGCAAAAGATACCAGGTTCATTCAGAGTAACTCTAAGTACATAGTGTACAGTAGTCATATCACAAAATTAGGAAACTGTGTAAATTTTAAACAAATAATTTTCTTTTGAAAGAACTCTCTCACTAACTCAAAGTAATATTTATTATAATTTTAGAAATTATACCTGTGGTTGCTATATTTATAATTAAGAACATTTGTTCTTAATGTTATTTTATTTACTTAAAGATTTCACAAATTCTTGTCAATGTTTAAATTGCTGTGTAAGTTTCAGCAGTATTTTCAACACATGACATACAGGGTAAATGACTAATTTATTATTTCAGCATTTGGTATTTGAAAAATTAAAAGCTTCTAATGTTGACAGGGGGAGGTACCTTCCTTTTGAGGTTAATCCTCCACAGACCCCTGTGTGGCCAGTTTACCCCCCTCTCAGATCATTCTCATGTCTGCTCAGTTGTGATAACTAGAGGTGCTATTGAGGTTAGATGTTAGCCTATGAATATTTAGTTACCTTAATTTGATGTCATGCCTCTTCTTCTGGTTGGTTCTCAGGTTCTCTCAGTCCTGTCACGGGATTGAGATGGAAAATATCACAGCTGTAACTCTGTTTCTAGTCTAATGTCGACAAACCTCTGGACAGAACTTATAGTTTAGTAAGTCTGGGTGTCATAGTGATAGTCAATGCTTTTTTTTTTCCTAACTATCATCAGATATCTTTCCAACCCCTGTCCATTCTTTAGTTTGGAGTTTCTAGTTACACATGAAACTGCAGTTCAAATACTCTAAATGTTTAGTATTATAATAGGATTTCAATAAATACCTTTGGATGAAATCCTCCTAACATATCTTTTCCTATTCTGAAAATTTAGTTTATTTCTACAGCTAAAACATGCCTAAGGATATCTTATTATTCATGAAAGTACATTTGGATTTTGCCAAAGTTTGTGATAAGTCTTTCATAAACTTTGAGGTTGTTAATGACTGACATCACAAAAGGATTAAAAATAACGGTGAGGAAGATCTAGTTGATAATCATTCAGTGGATTAATTACATGTCTTTTGGGAGGTAAGTACAATTCTATTTGAATGGAAAAAACACAGGTTTTTGACTATATAAATTTGTTTGACTTGTATATGACTATAATATGTAATGTGCTTACCATGAAATAATAGAATTGTATGATGTCTTCTTGGAATCGTCTATATTTTCATGTATGATAAGAGGGTAATTAAATCAATCCTAGTACAGCAGTAAATAAATATAAATGATAGTGATTTAGTGTCTTGGTATCACAGAAATATATTGTTTTACAAATATAGTGTTAGTGTATGATCATGAAGGTTTTTACTGCTGAAAGTAGAAGGGGCTAAAACAGAAAAAGCAAAGAAAAAGGACACTCCCATGCCATAAGTTTGAAAAAGATAAAATTCTGGTTATGAAAGTTTATTTAGCCTGACAAACAAAAATTGTGATTATATTAAGAATTATATTTCTATGTATCATTTAAAAAATTTAGGGTATTTAAAATAATTGGAGTCTTTATATAATGAATGATTATATTAAAAATAATAGTAGTTTGCTTTTTAGGAGTGTGATCTTGAACAGAAGATTGACTTTGAAATGAAGATGAGAGAAGGTATTATCAAGCTATTGGCTGTATCTAGACATTCAATTCAGACTTTGGAAGCTTCCAAATCTCTATTAACTTGTACTGAAAGAATTAAAGCATACATGGCAGAACAAGAACATCAGTCTCTACAAAGTGGGTGAGTATCTTTTTTTTTTTTTTTTTTTTTTTTTT